GTTTCAATTATTTTTGGGATAAAAATATTATCTATATTAAAAATGATAGAAATCGATTCAGTAAACGATTCTGAACAAACTACTTTATCCATGTGCGCTAATTATGTTACGTGTTATATAATACCGGTTGGATCGAGGTGGAATTTTTTTTTTTTTTTTTTTATAGGAGAGGGGGCAAACGAGCATGCGGCTCACCTGATGGTAAGTGACTACCGCCGCCCATGAACAACCGCAACACCAGGGGAATTGCAGATGCGTTGCCGGCCTTTTAAAAAGGAGTAGGCTCTTTTCTTGAAGGTCCCTAAGTCGTATCGGTCCGGAAAAATCCCTGGTGGTAAACTATTCCACAAGGAAGTTGTGCGAGGAAGAAAACATCTTCTAAATCGCACAGTGGTGGACCGCCAATCATCCAGATGGTGTGGATGGTATCGGGAGTTCTGCCGCGATGTGCGTTCATGAAATTTGGCGGCTGGGATTAATATAAATGAGGGTATATCGGAAACCCCCACTGTAGGCGACGTGCACGAGAGATTCCGCTTAAGTCATTCTACGAGTGTAGTCTAATGACTAGTGTTACGGCCTACGGCTGCTCCCTTAAAGGATCCAATCCTCAGGGGTCCATGAGCTGAAGACTTCCCGAACAGACGTAGGTCGGGCCTCAATGTGGCCACGTGGAATCTCTCGAATTACACTAAAATATATGGGGGAGCGTTCTATACTACGGCCAGTCGACCGGCAGAGGAATTAGGCGGAGCTTACTTACCTATATCCAAGGCGACTGGTCCCTCCGGAGTCGGTCAGGGCACATGTGGTTGTGTAGTGAAAGGGAAATAAGTGATGTGATGTGTATCTGGGTGTGACTGATGGTGATTGAACCTAGACCTTGGCCGTCGGCAGCAGCCCGAGCGTCGACATCGCTCCAACTTGAGGGGGCCTTCCGAGGTTGCCCACAGTCACTTTCTTCTTTCGTCACGTTGACAGTCAATTAACTCTATCGTACGATTAACTAACTTACAGAAGCCACTAACTATCGCTGGGTATAAGGTTAACTCACAAAACGCACACGGAGTTTACAGGATCAAAGGTCACTACCGTTTCGCGTTGCAACAGTTAGTTCTAGAATATCAGAGGCCGCACTAGCTAATATTGTCGAATGCACTTATACAGATTCTGAGTCGGACCCAATAAGTCCCGGGGAAGCTCTCCAGTAGGGATACGCGCCACAAAATTCCTAGACCGTATTTTTACTGTCCGCGCTTAATTATTCCGAGTTCCCGCGCTTAATTGGCAGCATGCCAATCGTGAGCACTACCTAAGGACGACTGACTGCACTTGGGCGTTTTTCGCACGACCGAAAGTCAAACCGGTATGAATGCACCGCGCCGAGAGCCCTCTCGCGTCAATCATTGAAAGTGTTTGGCGCGAACAACTAGTATATTTACTAGTGCTAAGATAGTGTGGTTCTGTTCGTTGTTGTAATTCTTCTAGTGCATATAAGAAGGATTGGTCTTGCTGAGAGGCTGCCTGTTACACTGAGATAAGTAGTGTTGCTATTCCATTAACATTGCTTAGCTGGTGTGAATCATACTTGAGGAAGCGTTCAGAACCTTTTTCTATAAATAGAAGTGATTCTCTAGTGAAATCCTTTCTGGTGTTCCTCAAGGTTCTCACCTCGGTCCATTGTTTTTCTTGATATTCATAAACGATATAAGTGAAATCCTTAATTCTAAATAAAAATGTATGCAGATGACTTAAAAATTTATCGAACTATAGTGTCCATGATGTTATCGCTTTACAACAAGTTGTCGGTAAAATTGATAGATGGTGTGAGTATATAACTTTACGATATTAAAGACAAAAAAAAATTACCATTTAAAATTTAGCAGAAAAAAGAAGGATTAACACAAGGAGTAACACAGCTGAGTATTTTATTGGTGACAATGTCATAAAAGAAGTGTCTTGCTTGCGAGATTTGGGGATTTTGTTGATACTACTTCATTGTTTCGACACCATTTTGATTACATTATCAAAAAATCTTCAAAACTCCCAGGCTTTATATGTAGGCAAATTAATATTGTGACGTATAATTGTGTAAGCAGTGGACTAACCATAACTGTTTACAATTCTCTCGTTAGAAGCCATTTGGAGTACTACAGTATTCTTTGGAATCCTATTTATACCATCCACTCCGAGCGAAAAGAGTGTGTTCAAAAACGTTTTTTTTTTATAAATTGATTAATGGTTATATTAACTCACCAATAATTTTAGAGTGCATACAATTTTTAATACCTCGTGGTAATAGTCGCCTTCATAATCGTAAAACATTTAGTCTTCCACTTTGTAGAATGGTTCTCGGACAACATTCGCCCTTATACCGCATATGTTCATCCATTAACATTTTTCGATCTGAAGTGGATGTTTTCATGGGTTCAAAGGCCTCCACAAAAAACAAATTATTGCAGTATCTTTAATCCAAGTACTTATGTAATTTAATTTAGCCTTAATTTCATTTAGTAACATAACTTTAAATCTAAAACTTTATTGTTAATTACAGATAAATTTTGTGCAAGCTATGTCTAAATTATATTAGAATACAATTTATAAAATCTTTGTTTAATATAATACCTGTCAGCATGTTGAAATTTTGTCCGTTTTGCAGACCGAAAAAAGAGAAAAAATAAAGTAAAATGCATAATATGTAGGTTATTATTTTTTACTTTAAAGCACAAAATTCAGTATTTACTTTCATATATACATCATATTTACATAATTATATTATACATACGTAACATTTATATTTTTAGTTTTATTAATTATAGAATTTTAAGCAAACGAAAAAAGTGAATTAAATGCAATACCACCGTGTGGTGATATAAAAGAATCCATCACGTCATTTCGTTCCGTGGGTATCACAAGAGGCGACTATGAACCAGAAAAATCAAAACTGCGGGTGCTAACCCACCTGCGAAGCTTGATAACTATGTTAAATATATTTTTTGATAGAATAAAGGTGACAAATGTGCACACAGTCTACCTTATGGTAAGTGGGTACTGTGGCCCATAGACATCTAAATTTATACGCAATTAAGAATCAAAATGGAGATACTTTGCTACCCCCGAGGGCTTCAATTTAATTCCTAATTTCCAGTAAAACTCTCCGGTGCTCTAAACTCACCTTACGAAACACAGCAACATTAACACTTTCACTGTCCGGTTTCCAGACACAATAATAAGACAATAGCAGTGCCTTATATATAGTGCACGGGACAGCGAAAGGGTAAAGCTGATATTTTACGCTTATTATTATAGAGAGCGCTGTTCTACCCCGGTCTAGCCGACCCATTCATGCTACAACCATTATATAGCTGCAACGTGGCTCTACTACATAAAATCCACCACCACCACGTAAAACTATATAAAATATGTGGTATATTTTATGGGCAATGTCCCAAATATCCCATAAATTGCCCCCTATGAGGCAATTTATGGGGTAAGCCTATGTTCAGCGGTGAAATTTAGAGGGGCTGTAACGGTAACGATAAGTAAATATTAATATTTAGAATATGCGAAACCAGTTTTGTTATGTAAACGATACATAATTCAATTTTGTGCTGGTAAATATAAGCCCTGTATACATAAATTATAGTTATACCACGTAAACATTGTTGAGCCATCCTGCAGTCGTGTTATAAGTTGTAACAAGGGTTTAACGAGACTTCTGAGGCGAGTGAATTAATAACGAATATGAATAAATTTTAGACCAATACTATTAAATTTGCCTACAATACCCGCACGAGACAAGTCTACGTTTAATTGTGAGAGGACTCTGACTAATGATTATTCAGTAATTTCAAATAAAACGTAGGTAGGTCAAAAGATGTACTATCATTAGTTTGTAATGTAATTAGAAAAGTAGTGGCTATATTTTCATTTAAATCAATTAAAAAGCATTACATTCCTTAAGCATTTTCGTACTTTTTTCAGAATATTTTGTAGTCCTAATTTAGATAAAATACTATTTTTAATATGTGATTTGAGACCAATTTTAATAGCAAAAGTAATAGACTGAAAATAGTAATAATATTAATAAAAGAATGTAAGATGTCACTCTGACAAGGGTCCGTGGGTCGTGTCAGACGCAAAATTATGTACAATATAAAAATACAAATAAAGTTCTATTAAATGCTGCTCCTATTTTTTTTTCTTTATGAACTCTTGACAGGCCACAGTTGGATATGAATCTCTTTGATTTTGGGACTCAGGCCAATAAAGAAGGATAGACTAATTGTTGAGTAAATTTCAAGAGACGCCGAAACCATGCTCAATCTTTGTATGTACTCACGCACACACATTCATTCTTTCTTTAGTAGCCAGTTAAAGTAGATGCTGGACGTACACATATGGTATGGGTGTATCCCAAAATCATATGTGTGCTATGTGTATGTTGTGTGCGTCAGGGGTGTTCTTAATTTATGGTTAAGTTATACGTGATAGAGCCACCCTGCAGCTGTATTATAAAAAATTACCACCAGGAAGACTTAAAAAAAAAAACGAACGCAGCTGACCATCTCTATCAGTGTCGGCTACCGCAAATGTATATATTTATGTAAATTTTAAAGTGCTCGGATAAATCAAACCCATATTGCTCTGCAAACGGAATTTTATAATAAGTTATTAACCTGGCTTGTATACGAGTATAGAGAGTCTAATTTAAAACTGAACGGGCCTCCCTTGTATTTTGGTAGATTGTATCACTTTAGTCATTTCGTATATAATAAAAATGCTAAATTATTAAAACACAATAGATAAGGCGCACAGATTTGGGTTTATAATAATTAATACGGTAAACGTGACAAAACCTACACATACACAATAGGCGAGTGTAGAATCAAATTAAACGATCTTGGCCAATATTTAAATTATAATTAGATTCGATGGCCTTTTAATATTAGATTCTACGGCCTCTTTATATATCTGCAAAAAGATGCTAATCAGATCAAATGCCTTCAACAAATCGAGAAAACAGGTATAAATTGGAGTTTATCGGTGTGTATAGTACTTGACTGTTTTCTTTAAACACGAAACGGTAGTTTCCATAACGAGTCCAGTTCGGAAACTAAGCCTTTTAATTTTTGATTACTCCGGAGGCTTGTGCTTAGGCTCTAATCTTTTATATAATGTTTTAACAATTAAAATTACCTTGCTCTCTTCTCAACCTTATATTATTTAAAAATATCTATGATGTTACACGATATGATTTATATGTGATAGAAATACAATTAACATGTATCTTAAAAAAACTTATAAACAATATAAACAAAAAATGAATATTTTTCACCCTAACTTCAATTTAGGAGTTTATTAAATTTATGCTTAATTTTAAGGATTTTATTTTTAATATAATATTAATATAATATACATTATAATTCGTCGCTTCATTCTTCAGATACAATTAACTTAGGTAGTCCCTTAACCAACTCGAGGAATTCGCACGTTTAGAGAATCGGTCTATTTTAAATCGATTTTTTTTTGTTGGTATCTCCCACTTTCCGTTTACCCGTCGGTCCGATAGCCACTTCATTCCTTACTTGTGCGAGGCAACGTTCGCACGTGCCTTTCGTAAAAAGTTAAAAGTGTTAATAATTTATATTCCGTGATTATTATGCCAAAAAAAAATGAAGAAAAAATTAAACGTTATCGACACAAAATTAGGAAAATGGAACAGGAGTAGAGAAAATACAAACGAATTATTTATTCGTCTTCTGAGGACTCTGATAAAGACTCGGGTTATTAATATTTTTATCTCTAAATATTATGAATACTAAATTAAATACAATTCAATATGGAATATTGTATTTGCATTTTACCTGGAGGTTGACTGTGTGTCATCACGAAGGTTATTTTAATACCGAGAGGTTAACCGCGTGTTAACACGAAGGTACTTGGAAATCGTTCGAGAAACGGTTTTGCAGCTATTCGTATATAAAATAAAAAATGTATTCAGATATAAAATAATATTTTAAAATTAATGACCTGTGTTTACACATGGCGAGCAGATTATTATTCGAGCGGTAGTTTATTTGTCTTTGGTTTTAATATCTACCCTCAATAACATTCATTATTGTTTTAGATAATGAAAACCTTGATATCGCCGATATAGAACCCTTGAATTCAGAGTATCGAAGCGACAAAAATAGCGCTTTAAATAATGAGGAGACAAAATATGACTCTGACCAAGAACCGGTAGTGTCAGAATTAGAGGCTGACATCCTTACTGCCACGAAAATCCACGACAAGTTAGCTCAGCTATGGTTACCTATACTTCGAAAGGGTATACATAAAGAGGCGAAAGAGAAACTACTTAAAGAATATCTCATACCGGAAAACTGCTCGTTATTACAAGCACCAAAACTAAACCCTGAGATTTCGGCCGCTGTATCTGAGGGCACCAGGACTCGAGACAAGAGAGTCGAGGCCGTACAGCAACAATTAGGAGAGGGGATATCAGCTCTTAACAAAGGGCTCGAACTCCTCTTAGATGATTGCAAAGACAGACTTCAAGCCGTTAAGTTTCTCAGTGACAGCTGTAGAATACTATGTGACCTACATTTTGTAGAAACGGAAGCAAGTAAGAAATTTGTGACCCCAGGATTGGATAAATCCTATATTAATATTATGCAGGAAGTGGATCGCGATGAAGTGGATTTGGAAATAAGCTTACAGAAAAAATAAAGCCACAAAAGTGATTGACAAACACGTTTTACAAATTAAGAAACCTGTCCAAAGTTTGAAAGCTTCCTACCCGTCACAGCAACCATCGACGAGCCGTTCACGCTCCCAGGGAAACTGGGGAGGCCCTTCTCGCTTCTTGTCAAACAGAGGGGGAGGGGGGGCCGAAGAAGAATACACTACCAAGTCGCAGAGCACCACCAGGCACCAGCTTCCAACCGAAGCCATCGGCGCTGAGCAGACATCGTGCCACAATTCAACAATATTAAAGGTACACGCAGGAAGAATTCTGGATTTTTATAACTGCTGGCTTAACATTACTAAAAATGCTCAAATACTTAAGTGGATCTCAGAAGGGTATTCCGTACCGTTTTGTAGCAAAGTGAGACAAGTTTCAGTTCCCCGTAATTCTGTACCCAGTAATGACCCGCATATGTTAAATTCTATCAAATCTTAATTAGAACTTGGTGCTATTTCACCCTGTCGTAGATCGATGCACGACTTTGTTTCCACTGTATTTCTAGCTCCGAAATCTAACGGAGCAAAAGGATTTATTCTAAATCTTAGGACTCTAAATAGGTTTATTTCAGCCACCCATTTCAAAATGGAAGATCATAGCACTGCAGCTAGTCTCTTACCTAAATCCGGCTTCATGGCAAATATTGATATAAAAGAGGCTTACCTTTTAGTTCCAATAGCAAAAGAACATCGTAAGTACTTACGTTTTCAATTTAATAAAAAATGACTGACTGACTGTCCGTTGCTCCGTGGGTTTTCACTAAGTTAATGAAAGAACCTATCAATTTTCTACGACAAAGAGGATATAGGTCGGTAATATATTTGGATGATATCCTATGCATAGGCGACACTTACGAAGAATGCTCCAATAACGTAAGTAAAACGTTATCATTGCTCAAATGCTTAGGATTTGTCATTAATTACGAAAAAAGTTTCCTGGAACCAAAACAGGTATGTCGATTTCCCGGGTTTATATATAATTCAGTCGATATGTCATTAAGTTTGTCAAATGACAAACGACAAGTTATCATGCAGTATGTCAAAAAATTTGCCTTACTCCCCAAATGCTCTATCAGGGAATTGTCACAACTACTAGGAATACTTACTGCAGCCTGTCCAGCCGTTAGATATGGTTGGTTATACACCAAAATTGTAGAACGTCAAAAATATTTAGCCTTACTAAAATATAACGATTTTGAAGCAAAAATCAAACTTTCGACTATTTGTTTTACCCGACCTGCAATGTTGGAAACAAAACATATTGTCCACTAGCAATTCATTGAGGCCAGATAAACAATTTGCTTTAGAAATATACACTGACGCGTCCAAGACAGGCTGGGGGGCTGTTTGTGACGGTAAAAGAGTAAACGGTGGATGGAAAGACAATGAATTATCCTTTCACATTAATTACCTAGAACTACTAGCCGTTTTCCTAGGCTTGAAAAGCTTTGCTTTCGCTCACTTTAATTGCTCTATTTTACTCCGCGTGGACAACACAGCTGCCCCATATGCTACATAAATCGTATGGGGGGAATACGTTTTCCACATTTAAATGATTTGACCAAAACTATTTGGCAATGGTGCGAGAAGCGAAATATCTTCTTACTTGCATCCTACATTAACACACACGACAACCGCGAAGCTGATGAAGAATCACGAAAAGTAAACGTAGATACGGAGTGGGAATTATCGGAACGGGCTTTCAAAACAATTGTTCAAAGTCTGGGGGAACCTGAAATTGATCTTTTCGCTTCTCGCACTAATGCAAAATGCCTTAAATATATCTCATGGAAACCAGACCCCGACGCAATGACCATTGACGCTTTTACAGTTAACTGGAACTTGTCGTTCTTCTACGCATTTCCACCGTTCGCCTTAATACTAAGATGCTTACGAAAAATTATTAGTGACAAAGCCACCGGTATCCTAGTGTTTCCTTACTGGCCCGGACAAGCTTGGTTTACACTGCTGAAAAGAATGCTAATCTCGGAGATTATTTTCTTTAAACCTAATAGGGACCTTTTGCGTTGTCATTACAGGCTACGTCACCGACTTCATGCCAGCCTTTCCCTGGCGGCCGCGACGCTCTCAGGACAGCGTTTAAGAGATTAAACATTCCGGACATAGCACTAGATCTCAAGCTAGCATCCATCTCGGATAACACTATGAAACAATATTCTAGTACGTACAGATTATGGTGGCAGTTTTGTATAAAAAACGAAGTAAATACTTTTGAAGCTCCATTATCATCCATAATATCATTTTTAGTGGATGTGTACGAAAATGAAGCATCATATGGGTCTATTAATAGTCATCGCTCTGCCCTGTCTCTACTCCTCGGGAATAATATAGGGTCAGATGAACGAATTAAGCGGTTATTAAAGGGTATTTATAGACAAAAACCTTCCCTCCTCAAATATACAAGTACCTGGGATCCGAAAACTGTGCTTGATTATGTATCGAAATGGTATCCAAATAATAATATAAGCCTAACAAAACTTACAAAGAAAATTACTACACTTTTTGCTCTGTGTACTTCTCATCGCGTACAAGCTCTCTCTCTAATAAGAATCTCGAATATCATAAGATCCCCGTCAGGTGCTAAGATCTTTATAACTGACATAATAAAAACTTCAGCACCAAATCAAGAGCACCCAGTATTATTCCTGCCTTATTTCGCGGAGAACCCAAGCATATGTCCAGCAAGAACCCTTAACGACTATCTTATAGTAACATCTAGGCTACGACCTGAAGGTACAGACAATCTCTTGCTTACTCATAAGAAACCTTATAAAAAGGCATCGTCACAAACTATAAGCCGGTGGATAAAGCAGACTTTAGCAGAGAGCGGTGTGGACGTAACTATATTCACTGCCCACAGCACCCGCCACGCTTCTACTTCGGCAGCGGCCTCCGCCGGAGTTTGTATTGACACCATAAGAAAAACGGCTGGGTGGTCTACGTCATCTATGACATTCGCTAAGTTCTATAACCGCCCATTAACGGATGAAGGAGAATTTGCTCGATCCGTCTGTGCGATTAGTATTAACAGTAACAAATAATAAGACTAATTATGTATTTATTTGCTTGAATCATTAAGAAAATGTTGGAAGTATTATTATATTTTTGTTAACCCAAAATTAAAGTTTTTTCCTAATTCTATAAATGTTTTATTAACCTAAGAACATTTATATCTTAATTTAACTATCTCTAAACATCTACCTAAGTTAATTGTATCTGAAGAATGAAGCGACGAAATATAATATGATATCAAACGAACTTCTTGAAGTGAAGTTCGATCATTATTATATGAGTCGCTTCATTCGAAGATACAAAGGTCCCGCCCACCCATACCCGGCGTACAAAAAAAAACTTAAATGAATATCTCTAAAAAGAATGAAGTGGCTATCGGACCGACGGGTAAACGGAGAGTGGGAGATACCAACAAAAAAAAATCGATTTAAAATAGACCGATTCTCTAAACGTGCGAATTCCTCGAGTAGGTTAAGAGACTACCTAAGTTAATTGTATCTTCGAATGAAGCGACTCATATAATAATGATCGAACTTCACTTCAAGAAGTTCGTTTGATATCATATAATTTTCTGTATGTTGGGGGCGCATGAAAATCAATCACACCATTTCCAAAGTATATATGTATAAAAGCCACATATTTACACAAAAAACTAAACCGAGGTTGCTTATCGACAACCGTGTAGTGGCGGTGCAAGAAATTATCTCGTGGGTGTCATTGTTTTGGATAGAGAGACGACAGAGTAAAATGAAACAGAAGATGAACAGCAACATCTTCTTGGCATCACCTCAAAATAATAAACTGCGTTTGCCAACCCGCTCGCCAGGCGTGGCATCTATGGTAAATCCATATATGGAGTAACAAGTCTTGATACCTTAGATAATTCCTAGTAACACGTTCTCATTTAATACTATTACTGCTAGGCTTGAAATATGAGTTGACAACCGGTGTATTATATATAGGACCCGTGGTTGCTCAGATGTTAAGCACTCGCTGTAAATTAGTACACAAGCAACCCTCGTTCGATCCCCGCTGGCACCTATGAAAATATTAATCGTAATATTAAGTGCTACTTTACCATGTGTGCAGCATGTCGACAGTGAAGGAAAACATCGTGAAGGAACCTGAATGTCTGAGAAATATTGAAAAATATTTCGAACACATCGCTGCTTAAATTCAAAAGTACCATAAATAAAAATTAAAAAAGATTTCGTCTTAAAATCTACCATTATTATACTTAAATTGAAGACTGAAGACAGCCGTTGATTTAGAAGTAAAAACACCAAAAAAAATACGAAAAATATGTTTTAAATTTTGACCTTTTGCGACTAAGTTCAAGTAAAATTGCCATATTGTTAGTTGTTGTCGGGCTGTCAGCGTGAATGCTACTACCACATGTCAAAAAAATCATATATTTGTTAAAATTTTTATGGTCGAAAATACCATATTATGGAATGTGGTTGTTTTGTATTTAAAGCTCAAAAAGCTTCACAATTTTATTTTAAAGATAAGACAGCCACATTATGTAATACATTTATCTTGCTTAAAAAATTATACAAATATTAAATTGATTTATAAACAAAACTGCTGTATTTGGAATACGTTTGTTTTGCATAAATTTTTCGATGGAAACTCTTTAAAATTTCAAAACTAAAAGTCAGTGTTTTGGTTTGTTGTTGTTTTGATACATAATGATATTGAAAATAAAATAAACGTTTTACTCAAAAGTGGTATTTACTCGTAGGTCACATTTTTAAGTTGTATGGCATTATAGTTTTATTAATATTTTTTTGCTATGAAGCGTCTATTATATTACCTGAAGTACCTAGATAGATTAATTTTTTTTATCAGACTGGCCAAAAACAAAATAAGAACTTTTTTTTTGTTTTTTAACACTTTTTTATCCATTCCTCGTTTAGATTAATTAATAAAAGTGTATGTTAATGTGTATA